TTAGTAGTGGTCTGGAAAGTACTTTCATGACTCCACCTTTACACATTGGTAAATGACATCCTTCCATGCCTGTGACCTGATTGTCTGCCTTGTGTTTGATTGACATTGGTCCACGTCAGACCTTTCTTGGTGTGGCCTAATGTCTGAACCAGAAGATGGCTCCTGATCAAGGTTGTCATCTGACATTCAGCCTGTACCCATGACTAAGACTCTGGATCTGAAATGGAACCATTTTCATGTACGTTCCCTAAAACAGAAATGTTTATCAAATTCTTCTGCCTTCTCGGAGTCATTACTGACTCTTTTACTACCTCTATCTAGGAATAGGTCCAATTGTTATAAATATCTTTTTTTTCCTCCCAGTATATTAAAAACTTGTTGTTTTGATCTCGGCCAGCCCTTTTCTCTACCTTTTATCAAACGCCTACACTTTTTGTATCTTCTAATTTATATCATTTGCTATCTCTCCCTTCCTTTTTTTCTTATTTTTATACAGCATAGCATATAATAACTATAATACGCACATATGTACATACATACGCATTCCTATTAGCTGTCTTGCTTTGCTACTGAATTTGGATGAGCTCTTGTGGATTCATGGCCATCTAATAAACACTTCTTTAAAGAATTCATAGCCTTAATTTGCATTTTTCTTTCTGAATTTTTTCCTCACAGTCCATTTTGCTGATAATTTGCTAAAGCAAAGTAAAATTAGGCTTTTTGAAGCACCAAGTGTGTACGTTACTGCCTGGGCACTGTCCTTTTGTTTGCCCATATTGATGTAATTAGGTCACAATTGCTAGTCCCTAGGCAACCACCAACTTTCAATCCAGCTATTTAATTCATCTTTATTCATCGTAATGAGGTTCAGAATAGCTACCTTGCACCAGATGTAATGTCTCTTGGCTAAGAAAATTGTTGTCTCTAATTATAGACACTCTAAGGATGTTTACTTCTGTCTGAACGGGATGTCCAGTGTAATGCTCCTCTGTTAACACATATCTACACGTGCATTAACGTGCTTTAGTTAATGTGCATTAAATCTAGTATCTCCATTTTGAGGTACTAAAAAAATACGCATTAGCCTGTCTAAATGCACATTGACTAAAAAGCCTGGGCATTTTCACACACGGTCCTGATGCAGCGCCAGATGCTTTTAATTAAGGGGCTATGCTAATTAAAACACCTGCATATCACGTGTATCAGCAGCACAGTGCTTCCCTATGCTAAGAAAATGGTGGCTGGACACTTTGAACCACAGCAAATCAAACATGTTTTAGTTCAAAGTGCACCACCACCATTTTCTCCATGCAGAGATGCGCCGCGCCACTGATGCACATGATGTGCAAGGTTGCCAGAGTGCATCAATTTACCTGCTCCTGCAGCCTCAGTTAATCAAGTCTGCTCTGATGCACTGGATTTCCAGTGTGGGAGAGCCGGCTCCCCATGTGTGTAAGTGCCCCATGGTTTTTAAGTGACACTTAATGCATATTAGCTTATTTTAATGTGAATTAACTAAATAGCAGGGCATGATTCTTTGGGTAGATTTTATATCTTTTATTAGACCCACTAAATAGTTGGAAACATTGTTCTTTGCAAAGAACAAGTTATCCAACTATTTATTTAGTCTAAGATATCACATCTGCCCAAATAACCTTATCTGCCTATGTCCTTAAACCAGTACAGCTACAACCAACAACTCTAACTAAATAGCACGCTTTTTAGTGATGCTTTAATGCGCATTAAAATAGACACAATAAAGCGCACGTGTAGATGCACCCACACAGTTGCTTAAGGAGTAAGTCATCATGTTTTCCAGTTTAATTTGATGGTCTCTAACAGTTCCCAACTCATACTATCACTTTACTCCCCTCCCCCCCACAGTTTAATTAGCTCATTGATCCATATGTTTGACCTGTGATCTTTTTAACAATATTTTAATATTCATATGAAATGTCAGCCCTCATTTCATTACCTTGGCTCTCTTCTAAGCTGTTTGTTACTAGAAACATTAACTTTTTTATATTCTTCAAGTTAATCCTCCTCTTAGTTGCTTTGCTTGGATTGTGGGTGCAAGTCTGTAGCCTGAGACACTCTGTATAAAATGCAGCTAGCACTGCTCCCTCATCTTGCAAGCGTGTTGTGAAGATGAAATAAGTGTTTGTAAAATATTCATACTTCAGTTTTCAGCTTTGAGTTTATCCATAAGGAAACCTTAATATGTTATATTCAGATCAGTTTAAACAGTGCAGTAAATATGACATGGTAACACATTGAACAATGAGGATAAACATAATACAGTAAAATCTCTGTTATCTGGCATTTAACTAACCAGAATACTTAACTAGAATTTCAGTGGTGGGATGCACACGGCACTGCGCCACTTTGCTGCCTGCTGCACTGCTCTGAGGATACCTGCGCAAGTTATCTGAGTGTGCGTGCCCCTCCCCCTGCTACAGCCAGGCTGTCCTGGCGTTTGGGGTGGCTATGATGGAATTTTTATCTGTACACTATTTTGTTCTTTATACAGTATGTTATACTGTAATGTATTGTACACTACTTCTTTGAAAATTTGCACTACAAGTAGGCACTGTTTTCTTGGGTGTAACTCTCAGATGACCAGAATTTTTAGATAACCAGCACCACCCCTCCCCTTCTGACTCGCGCCGGATAACAGAGATTTTACTGTATTAATAGCTGGCCACTGAGTGAGTTCCATCCATCTAATGCAGTGAGGCCAGGGTCCTGTGGAAAAATAGTGTCATTAAAGACTTATCATAAAGTATATGCCTAAGGCTGACTCCAGATTGAGGAAGCAGACAAACTTTGAGTTTGTTTTAATTTGGCAGCCATATTGATCCTCTAATGTGTTTTGCGCAAAACATATATACATGTTGTTTCATGTTGCAAACAATCTTTCCCAGTGTGTAGATGAGAGGTTCTCAACGTTTTCAGAGTTGGGGCATTCCTCCACTACTTTTTTCTGAGTGTGGTGTCACCCCTAGTTGAGAAGCACTTACCTCAGCTCTGTCAGTGTTTATTGCCACCAAATAAAACTGCCCTGCACATCCACTGCGCAGCCAGACTGGGAAGGGCTGTGGCACATGGTCCTCTTGCTTTAGAGTTCTCTGATAACCCCAAAGGAGGCAGGGGAGGTGGCTTGTGCTGCATCCCTTCCCAGCCCAACCCCACACAGCATCTCCCAGAAAGAAGTAGAACTTTACTGCAAGCTTCTGTTTCCGGGAGATGTGTGGAGGGTGGG